ACTGGGTGAGGTCAAAAAGGTTTTAATAAAACTGTAGATATTTAATGTGCTAATTGGACAGGATAACCTAAAAGGTTCCAGGGTGGGCAGCACTAATCTAACTCGGGGGAGGGTATGGGGAGTTTGGGGGAAGGGGCCCATGACAAGGGTGATAAAAAAGAACGTGTCCACATGCTGTCATGCTGAATAGTGTAATGTAAGAAGGCTGTGTATTTGTAATTGGCCTTTTCTGTGTCAAGCAGAAAGGCCTGAATTAGGTCAGCCTTTCAGAGCATCCTCTGCTGACCCCTTTGAAGCCTGTGGCCCCCTTTACATAAACTGTGAATTAGACACCAGGTTCCATGATGTAGCAGAGGCAGAATATACGTCTTATGCATTTGATGGTGCTGAGCATCCAGTCCTATCCTGGCAGCTGATGTAGTAGGTGTTTAAATATTGGTTTACTATTGATGGTGGTGGTGATAGTAAATACTCAGTGAGTAATGGTAATGTATTCTTTCTAAGCATTATCTCATCTCATCCTTATAGTAACTCCATGAAGTATAGGGTGTCTCCCCAAAATGTATACACACACTTGGAATAATTCTAAAGGCAGTGTTTATTAAAATACATTTCATTTTCAAAAGTGGGAGCTATCAGCTGTTAAAGTGTGTATACACTTTTTGGAATACCCTGTATTTGTCTCCCTAATTTGTAGATTAAAAAATCAAACACTGCCGAAACTGGTTTGGCTCAGTGGATAGAGCATCAGCCTGCGAATTGAAAGGTCCCAGGTTCAATTCCGGTCAAGGGCATGTACTTTGGTTGCGGGCACATCCCCAGTGGGGGGGGGTGCAAGAGGCAGCTGGTTGATGTTTCTCTCTCATCGACGCTTCTAGCTCTCTATCTCTCTCCCTTCCTCTCTGTAAAAAATTAATAAAATAAATTTTTTAAAAAAGAAGCTGAAAATCAGCTTTGCCTGATATTGGAACCTTGGCAGGGAACACTATGTTATAGTAACGTATAGCTATAGTTATTGATTTATATGCATTTGTTATATTTCTAAGAAAGCACATATTAAATTCAAATTATAGAATTTAAGTTTTGTAAATGAAGAAACTTTTATTTTAATCATATCCCCAGCACCTAGAACAACTCTTGGCATTTATTAAGTGCTCAGTAAATTTTATTTTGTGCATATGCTTACAAAAATGGGTAGGAACAATTATTTCAATATAGGAGTTACAGGCTAGAAATTACTGATTCACAACAGGTTTTGTTGTCGGGGTTGGGTGGGGTTTTTTTATTGCAAACATTTTAGTAAGGTAGAACTCTAAACCTAAATATCACTCTAACAAATTCAGTAATTATTCATTCAAGAAATATTTATCTCCATTCAATAAATATAATTGTACATCCACTAAGTGCTAAAAACTTACTACCAGAGATATATTGGAAATTATAAACAACAATAAGAAAACAGCTATTGCAGAATGCAATGTGCCATGAAGAAGGCCAAGTAGAAGATGTTAAGACAGAAAATAGCAGAGGGGACTATGGTGTTGTCAGAGTATCCTATCTAATAAAAGAGTAGTATGCAATTTGATAGTACCTACACCACACCCACAGCCAATCAGGAGAGAGTATGCAAATTAACCCAACCAAGATAGCTATGGCCATAGAGAGAGCAGGAAGCTTGGGTTTCCCCAGCAATGAAAGAAGCCAAACTTTCTGCCTGCCCTGGCCTGACTTGGCCTTCACTTAAGGCTACAAAGTTTCAATTATAGGAGATAAATAAATCCCAGATCTCAGGGCCTCCGCTTTGGTTGCTGGGTGACGTGGCCAGCCTGCAAACCACCACAGGCCCCTCTCCCAGAACACCCCACACCCCAAGGGACCCCCACCCTGATCCGGGAACACTTCAGGGCAAACCAGCCAGCCCCCACCCATGCACCAGGCCCTCTATCCTATCTAATAAAAGAATAATATGCAAATTGACCATCACTCCAACACACAAGGTGGCTGCCCCCATGTGGTCAAAGATTCTGCTCCCATGTCGACACAAGATGGCCACCACAAGATAGCCAGCAGGGGAGGGCAGTTGGGAGGAACCAGACCTGCAGGGGAGGGTAGTTAGGGGCAAACAGGCTGGCATGGGAGCAGTTAGGCATCAATCAGGCTGTCAGGGGAGTGGTTAGGGGGTGATTAGGCTGGCAGGCAAAAGCAGTTAGCAGCAATCAGGAAGGCAGGCAGGCAGGCAGGCAGGTGAGCAGTTGGGAACAAGCAGTCCTGGATTCTCAGATTGGAGAGGGTGCAGGCTGGGCTGAGGGACACCCCCCCCCCACCCCCGCATGAATTTCATGCACCGGGCCTCTATTCTATAATAATAAAAGCATAATATGCTAATTAGACCAAATATCCTTCCAGACGAAGCTGGGGCTGCTAGTGAAGCCCGGGTCCTGGGTGCCAGAGGGAAGCTTGTCCTGGTAGCTGGGGGATGGAAGGCCTACTCTTGCACAAATTTCATGCATCAGGCCTCTAGTTTCTCAATAAAATAGGAACAGTTCAGCTGAGATGCTGAGAAATGCCAGGAACACAAGGAAGGAACACAGGGGGTGACAAGTGCAAATGCCAAACACTTTAGGAAGAATAGAAAGCAGGTCAGCAAGTCTGAGAAATGGTCCATGCAGTGCTCTTACCAGCCTAAAGGATTGTTGTATTAAGATTCCTTCAGTCTCTTACCTCCTTTACTACGTGTCATTGTGTGAAAGCACCAAGCCAAAAGCTTTATTTTTCTTGGTTTTGGGTGGAGGGGCCAGTTCCCCATTGTTCATGGTGGAAAAGTGTGATCCGCAAAATAGAAACCTTTGAATCTACTTAATCCAGAACTTCTGTCTCCAGGGAGGGTGGGCTGCACTGTTAAATAAATGCAGGAGGAACTTTTTGGGGAACATGAAAGAACAAATTTAGCAAGCCCAGAGACCTGATCTATGGCGGGGACATTCCTTTCATTGGTTACAGTGGAAAATTCCTCAAGCACAGCCTGGGCCTACCTGATTCATCCTGCAGCTCTGTTCCAGCCCAGCACATGTTCCAGGAAGATGACAGGGAGAATTTCCCAAATGTGATTTTTTTTCCCCAAAGTCTCCAACGTAAGTTCATTCCAACTCAAAGCAAGATATCTTCTCACTGCTTTGAGATGAACTTAGCTTTTTCTCCCTTCACCCCTTCTCCCCATCCCCCGTTGTGGCAATCTGCAAGAGAAACTAGAGTCTACAACTACTGATGAGCGGGCCACTGGAGCCTTGGTGAAGGACACAGCTTGTTACATGGAAAACCCAGCTAGGCAACTGGTGCTGAAGAGCATTCCATCAATTTGCACCAGTCTTCACATGCTACTGGGATGTCATATGTGACTTTTGAACAAATAGTCAAACAACCACATGAGACTTAACCACCCGATAAGAACGACTCAGACTCTCTTGCAAGCTGAACTCCCTCCAATCATATCAAAGAATATTCCTATCTGTCCTTCTGGAGAAGGGGACAATTCCATTTCCTACCTGCCAGAGCATCTCTTTCTTCTTCATGGAAACCTAATGGCAATTTCCAGCCTCAGTTGAGGACTTGTTCCCCCTTCCCCCACCCCACCCCCACTTTTTTTTTTTTTAACTTCAAATACTTTCTAAATGGTGTTAGCCGAAGCATTGTATGTACATAATTAACTCACAGGTCCCTCTGGGCTCATCTCGCTAAACTCGAGGAGCTTAACTGAGCAAGACGTTTGCTTATGTCTCCTCCTACAATGACACCCGTGGAAACGAATCCCTTCTACAAGAGGAAACCGGGGAAATGTCTTTCTTTCCCACCTTGGCTTTCCAGTGACTTAATGATTTTTGGTTTCATGACAATAACGATCAATCGGCTTTTGCTTTCAAGTACGAAATTTGCAATTTGGGGAAGCAGGGTAGAAGGTGGTGGGGAATTCGGTATTTTCCTCCTCCTTGAAGTAGAAAGACGGGCCTCTCATTTTTGTATTCACCAGATCTTTGAAATTCCCTCAGGGTGGCAGTGGCTCTCTGTGGGCACAGGGCTCCGAGGGACCGGGCATGTTGAGAGCAAATGTAAGCCAGCCCCGCGGTGTCCTGTTTTCACAAGCAAAACCCACAGGAAGACCTGCAGCACTTCCCCAAAACAAAGTGCCAGGGCGAGGGAAGGGGCTCCGTTCAGACCTTCAGACCGACTGTGCTGGCTAGATTCATACAGAACTCAGCCCTCTGCCTCCCTCTGCCTGTGTAGACACAAATGCCTGCCGTGATGGCTGTTTGAATGAAGGAGTCGGTTGTGATGGTAGAAAACTTCTGGCCGCTGTTTCCCCTTCTATTCCCAGCACAGAGGGCTTCAGCTGGGCGCTGAGAGACTCTTTTTCCCACCCCGTCCTCTCTGTGGAGGTTTGCAATCCCAGGCCTTGCCCTTTAACTCCACCAAGGGACTGCATGCTGCATGCATCCCCTAGGGGTGAGCAAAAGGGACCTGGATGCCCACTTCCTGCCTACCTAAGCCAGCCCACTTCTCTTTGCCCCCCTGAAGCGCAGGTGTCGGGAGACAGCCCTCCTGCAAGCCAGGGAGGTCGGGGGCGGCCGAGGAAACACCGCCCTCGGCTGCGGGGCACGGGAAGGGGGAGGTGGAGAGAGCGCGTCCATGCTTTTCACCTGAGCCTGCAAGCCAGCGGCTGGCTGCCCAGGTGCCGGTGGCGGCTGCGTGCGCCCCGCTGGCTGCCGCAGAGAGCAGCCGCAGCCTCGGCCTCGGCCACCGCCGCGACTGGGAGAGTCCTGGGCTGCTGACGCGGTTGGGAGGAGCCTCGCCTTTAATGCACCAGCCGCCTCCAGCCTCCTGCAGCCGCAGCAGCAGTAACAGCAGCAGCAGCAGCACCACCACCAGCAGCAGCAGCAGCAGCAGCCACCGCAGCCGCAGCGGGAGTGCGCGCGGTGGGTGTGCGGGTGAGTGCGCTGTGCCGGCCGCAGTGCCCTGCCCAGCCCCGCCGGCTTCCTCGCCTCCGCCCGCCAGCTGGAGCCGCCCTCCCGTGGGACAGGCACCCCCGCCCGGACCCGGCCAGCCTGCATCCTGCCCCTGCCATCTCGCCCTGCAGCTCGAGTCCAGCAAGGCACCATTTTGTCGCGGCTGCCCCCTCTCCCGAGGGGAGGAGGGATTTTTTTCTTCTTTTTTCTATTTTGCATTTCGGAGCGACTGCCAACGAGGAGAACCTGTTGGGCATCTCCCCAGCCCGGCTGGTGAGCGCCTCCGGGGCGGCGGGCGGGACCAGACCCCTCGGGGCACGGCGGCGCATCTCGGCACCGGAGGCGGCGCAGCATCCTCACCGGGAATCGGAGCCGGAGCGCCGCGGGCGGAGCCGCCGCAGCCTCAGAGAGATCCCGAGCAGAGGAGGTGACAGCTCCATTGCCGGGTTTTTATTTTTATTTTTATTTTTTATTTTTTCTTCTCCGCCTCCCCGTCTCCTCCTCAGGCTCGGACCATGGTGCAGTCCCACCGGCTCCCCTGCCCCCCTCTCCCGTGAGCCTGGCTGCGGGGAGGGATCATGGATACTTGTCTGCCGGCTTCTGGTTCCCACGCAAGTAAGCCTGCTGTCAATGGAGGAGGACATTGATACCCGCAAAATCAACAACAGTTTCCTGCGCGACCACAGCTATGCGACCGAAGGTAACGCCGGCCCCGCCGCATGCATTCCGCCGCGGGGGCCGGGCGGCGCGAGTTGCGGGTCATCGCTGAGCTCCGCGGGCGGCAGGGCGCGCGGTGGCGGGGACGCATCCGGGGCCGGGGCCGGGGCCGGGGCCCGGGCTCGGGCCGGGGCGGGGGCTCGGCTCGCTGGGGCGGCAGCCGGAGCGCCCCACATTCATCCATCCGGCCTCCGCCTGGCGAGCCCGGCGTTCAGCAGCAGGTGGACCCGGCGCCCGCGGGAGCGAACATGGCCCTCGGGGATTTTTCAGGGTGGGGCTCCCAGCTGGCAAAATGACCCCCAGAAAACAGATGACCTCTCCCCCGAGATGTTTGCAGGGGGTCTTGTAGGGAGAGAAGAAGGAAGAGGCCCAGAGCACCGCGGGTCTGAGCCCAGCGGAGCCGAACGATGCATCTCCCAGTGGCTGCAGAGAGGGCAGGGTTTCATTTCCTGCAGGCTCATCTCAGGCACGGTTACCTGCTCAGACAATCAAACCCCCGAAAGGCCCTTGGCCGAAGGGCGAGCCCCTCTCCCTTTGGAAGTGCATTTGCAGGCAATGAAAAGGTGGCTGGGGAAACGGGTGTTCTGGCGAGCGAATTGGTGTGACACGTGGGGCCAGCAATGCGATGAGTGGGGCCTTTAAAAATCCCCATTATGGATTCTGCAGCAGGAGTTTCTGCTGAATCAACAGCCAGCAAGCAGAAAGCGAGAGGGTTCAGGAAGCTGAGCTTTGCCAGGAGGTGGAATTGTCGCCTCTCCCTCTCCCAGCCTGTGCTGGTATTAGCCTGGTGCTGTGCACGCGGCAGGCAGAGAAAAGTCAGCAGGTGGAACTCATTCTGCCTTTTGTGTGGGAATAGAGTGGAGGTTTTTGTTGTGTGGGTTTTTTTTTTTTTTTAATACCAAAACTTTTGTATTTTTGCTTTCATTTTCTACCTGGAGGCCTTTATCCTTAACCACTCATGTAAAGTGTTGCATTATCACATGGTCATTTCCACGTGAGGAAAAAATGTGTTCGAACATGCTTTAGGAAAATGTAGCAAGGTGTGTGAATGTAAGACTATTATTCTTGGGTGCTGAAGGATCTATGATATTTAACAAACCAAAATAACTAGAGAAATGCGATGGGGGTTCAAGCTCCGAAAGAAATAAAAAGACTCAACTTGGGAAAAGCTGGCATTTTCTATCAATATCCTTGGAAGTTTTAGATAAAAAGACTGCCTAGCGCTGCTGAAAATACGTTCTCTGTTCATCATCATTATTGGAGAACAGCACGCCTAATATTTCCGTGGCACCAGCAGATTAAGCAGAGTTGTATGAGCTCTGGCCTCCAGGAGCTTAGAAATGGCTTTTAAGATATTCTGCCTGTCCCTCCCCCACAACCAAGCACCATACTCGCCGATCCTTGTCATTTGCATGGTGACAGTGTAGATGTAAGATGTTCATCCTCAGTCTTAACGCTTTGTCACTGACTCAGCTGCCGGGTAGAACATTATCAGCTCTGTGTCTGAGTCTGGCATCCAAGAGAGAAGTTGGCCTTGGGTCTGTGGGCTTTATGGGGGACACCACTTCTGTTTGTGGCAACAAAGAAAGAGGGTTGCCTCCATGCTTTCCGCTGTATTGCATAATACTTCCGGGGCAGGGCAAAGGAAACTTACTGAGCTGAGAAGATGGGCACGTTGGGACCTTGTGTATAGGGATTACCCAAGGACCCTAGAGAGTGCCTGATCTTTGTTCCTATGTTATGGCATATTGGTAAATTGATTCTGAACAAAATGTCTGGGTTTATTTAGCCAAAATAAGGCAAAGAGCTTTTCAAAACCTTTCTAAATCAGCTTCTCAGATACTCTCTCTGTCTCTGACTCTCTCTTAGACCTAGACATTGAAAAAAGCAGGAGTTAGGTAGGGCAGGAAGTTGGTCTTAATCGGTTCATTTTAGGGCACAACCATGCAGTCATGCTGGCCCGAGGGGAAAGAGTCCCTCTTCTCCTGATGAATACCTTACAGGCGCTGGTACAGCTTGAAAGAGCTCCAGGTGAAAATAGTCTTCGTTAAAATCCACTTTATTGGGGGTTTGCTCCCAAAGTTCTCTTCCCCTTTGTTAACTTAAACCCACTTTCTGAAGAATTAGCATCCAGGTCTTTCTGCAGATTTTTTTTTTCTTTCTCCTCTTTCTTTTGATATTTTTCCTGCCTGCCAAGATATGTCAGATTTTTTTCTCCAAGATCTCCTTCCCATTTGTCTCTGAGCTTTCCTCGCTGTGCTCAGATCATTCCACCCTGCAGTGTTCTATTTAAAGCTGAAAGGGCTTTGCTGTGTAGTTAGTGTGAAGGACTGCAAGCTCAATTTGCATTGTAAGTGGTAGCTGCCTGCAAGTTTAGCTAGCTAAGAGCAATGAAAATGCCGAAGGACACTTTTACCCAAGAGCAGCTCGCGCTCGCTCTCGCTCTCTCTCTCTCTCTCTCTCTCTCTCTCTTTCTCTCTCTCTCTCTCTCTCTCTCTCTCTCTCTCCCTCTCTCTCTCTCTCTTTCTCTCCCCCCTCCCCCTGAAATGTATGGGTGTATTTATAAAAAAATATTCTTATGACTCTTCTGGGCATTAAAGTTACCACCTTTCCTACCATTTTCTATTTTTCCTCTCTTTTTAAAATTACCATCTTTGAGCATCTTCTATGATCCAAGCACTGTGCTAAGTTTTTTGTAGTAGCATTTTAATATAACCAAACCCAGCTAAGTGGGTGCTGTTATTTCCATTTTCAAATAATGAAACAGCAACAGAGGCCCAGAGATGTTACTGGTTTGCCAAAGTCACACAGACAATCAAGGCAAGAGCTTGTCTTCAAGCCCAAGACTGTCAGAGGACCCACCACAGTCCCTTCCATTAGGAAGTTCTGCACAGCTTCAATTTTCTTTAACCATGAGCTACTGCTATAGGGAAGAGCACAATGGTTTTGTCTTTATGTATAAACTAAAGGCCCGGTGCACGAAATTCAGGGAAGGGGGTGTCCCTCAGCCCAGCCTGCACCGTCTCCAATCTGGGACCCTTCGAGGGATGTCAACCTGCCCGTTTAGACCAGATTCAGGTCTAAACGGGCAGGTTGACATCCCTCTCACAATCCAGGACTGCTGGCTCCCAACTGCTCACATGCCTGCCTTCCTGATTTCCCCTAACTGCTTCTGCCTGCCAGCCTGATCAACCCCTATCCACTCCCCTGCCAGCCTGATAGATGTCTAACTGCTCCCCTGCCAGCCTGTTTGCCCCCAACTTCCCTTCTCTGCTGGCCTGGCCACCCCTAACTGCCCTCCCCTACAGGGCTGATTGTCTCCAACTGCCCTCCCTTGCAGACCTGGTCCCTCTCAACTGCCCTCCCCTACTTGCCTGATCACCTACATCTGCCCTCCCTTACAGGCCTGGTGCCTCCCAACTGCCCTCCCCTGCTGGCCATCTTGTAGTGGCCAACTTATGTCCACATGGTGGCAGGATCTTTGACTACATGGGAGAAGCTATTGTGTGTTGGAGTGATGGTCAGTTTTTATATGATAGCATATTACTCTTTTATTAGATAGGATAGAGACCTGGTGCATGGGTGGAGGCCAGCTGGTTTGCCCTGAAGGGTATCCTGGATCAGGATGGGGGTTCCCTTGGAGTGTGGGGCAGCCTGGGCAAGAGGCCTGTGGTGGTTTGCAGGCTGGCCACACCCCCCAAGGACCCAAGCAGAGGCCCTGGTATCTGGAATTTATTTACCTTCTACAGTTGAAACTTTGTAGCCTGGAGCAGAGCCAAGCCCCTGGCTCACTCCATGGCTGCCACCATTTCTGTTGGGGTTCATGTATCTTGTATAAATGAAACTTTGTATCCTTGAGTAGAGGCCGAGGCCCGCCAGGACAGGTGGAAAGCTTTGCTTCCTCCATTGCCCCGGGCAACCCCAGCCTGCTCTCTCCAGCTCCATGGCTGCCACCATTTTTCTTGGGATTTATCCTCTATAATTGAAACTTTGTATCTTGAGTGGTGGCCTAGGCCAGCCAGGGTGTGTGGAAAGCTTGGCTTCTGTCGCCAGGGAAACCCAAGCCTCTCAACTGCTCTCTGTGCCTGCAGCCATCCTGATTGGGGTTAATTTGCATACTCGCTCTGATTGGCTGGTGGGTGTGGCTGGTGGCTCTGCCTTGAGTGGAGTGATGGTTAATTTGCATATTACTCTTTTATTAGGATTGTATTCTCATCTAGGGTAGAATTCTTTGCAGGGGTCATTTGAAAGTGTGTATAGGGGTTATATGTGAGAAAAAGCATGGGTGGGGTTGGAATAGACACACACACACTGGTTTTATTGGTTTTCCTCCAATGTGCGGTGCCTCTCTCTCTCTCTCTCTCTCTCTCTCTCTCTCTCTCGTTTTATTGGTTTTTCCCCAATGTGGAACCCTGAGTTCCCTAAACAGAGGCGCATCTCTCAAACCTATCTGATCTACATGTGGCTTTCCTTCTATATTTTTAGTCTTGTCAGAACCAACTGAAAATCCCTCTCTATTAGACCTGTCAAAATTTTTTTCTATCAATCTTCCTACTCCCAAATGAGGCCACAGAGGGAAATAGGTGGTGTTTATAGGAATGGCAATCTGGTTAGAAGGGGAAGTTGGAAAACACATTTTAAAACAACTACTCTGGTTTGGGTTTCCTTACCTGTAAAATGGGAGTAACAGTAGAACCTGTGCCACAGAAAAAAATTAATACTGGGAAATCACTGAATACGGTGCCTAATATAAAGCCAGACCTCAATAAATGTCCTCAATACGTTATAGCTGTTGTTATTATTACTTACACTGCATTTTCATAGCAAGCACTGTTTTTCCTCAAATTGTTTGATTTGAGTTTATCTTAAACAGAAGGGCTGGTGGGAGTAGGAGAGAGGTCACACTAAAACCCACTGCAGTGTCTTAGGGGCTCAGCCACTAACCATGGACCTTGCCATTAATTAATTTGCCTTAATGTATTT